ACTATTTAGAAAAGGAAACCATACAGTTTTAAAAATAATCTTACATGGTCTTCTATTTCTCTTTTTTTTTTTTCTTGAAATGAGGGAGTTGTGTACAAAGGGGTTAAACACTGTATAGTAAGAAAACAGTCTCTGCTAGAGTCGCTTTGTTCATCATACTCCTCATCTTGTCTTCTTTCTTTTCTTGCCTGTTTTCCTTAATGACTTCCTTTATGGCTGCATTGAATTTTCCTTCAGCTCAGTGGAGAACAAAGTCTTTATTCTATTTTTCCTTGAACTTCACAGCTTCCCTTTCCCACAGCTGCTATCACTGTTTCTCTCTGTCTCTTCTAGTTTCTTTGGGACATCACCAATGATAAACTGGATCATCTCTGTTGGATTATAGATGATGCTCAGAACTGAACAGAGAGGTCAAATGAGGCCTCTTGGGTGTGGTAGGATCCTTAGATTTCTTTCTTTCTTCCTCTTTAGGAGGGATACACATTCTCAGTTCTCTTTCTACATAGGTCATGTGCGTGCACTTGCCCATGTCTTCAGAGTTGCCTTTGTCTTTAGCAGACTTGATCCCCCATCTCGCCTTAGCAAACTCTGAGAAGTTGAGGCACCAGGTGCTTCTAGTGCTCTTCCCAGTAAAGTTTTTTGAATGCCTTATTAGTATGTGTTTACAGTGAATATGAAATCTACCCAGTGTGGGGAATTGGTACATCTACATGTCCCAGCTTGACATTTGTCACTTCTCTTTCCTGTACAGCACCCCACCTCCTCCATCCCCAGATCCCCACCCCTCTGCCTCGAGTCAATCTCTGGACACAGTGCCTGCTGGCTTCACAAGCTCTCCTTTGCCTCTGTTTGGCTGTTTTCACCTGGAGAGGCACAAAGTAACCAGTGCCCATCTAGCTTGTGAGCCCAACACTGTCTCTACAGAGCCTGGTGCACTGTTTTGGTTCTCTGAAGATCTGACTTGTATTCCTAATCAGCCAACAGGAGTTCAGCGCCTTTGGTCTAGCAATGAGCATCAGTGCTGTGGAGTTTTGAATACAGATACTTCTGCTAAATAAGGCATGCCACTTGAATTTGTATTCTAATCTACATCATGGTTTAATATTTAATCCTTGTCTGCCTTTACACTTAATATTTTAAGAAACAAATGTTCGTTCATTATACAAAAACTGGTGCTTTAACTGTGTAATCTAGAATAAATACCTCCCTATTATAACTCTAGCTATCAGATATCTAGGTATTTTACTTGTTGTTGGGATTTTTTTTAAGAAAAAAAAAAGAGAATTTTGCTTTTGTTCCTTTTGGAAAGGAGCTTTCGTTAACTTGAGAAAATTTAACACTAGATGGCAGGATGAGACTATACACCCTGACTCCTCGAAGCTAAGAGAAGAAAGGACTGACAATTTCTCCTAAGTCACAGGAGTTCTGAGACAAATACATTGTTTTACTTTTTAATATATTTCCATGTATGCATTTCTGCATTATTTCATATTTAAAATTTGCAACTTATATAACTGTGATAATAAATAGTCGGCATGAGTTTTTGAAGAAAATTGAGAAATGTTCAACTTGCTGAAACTTTAACAACTGATTTAAGTATTATGATAATAATTTTAAAAGAATTTATTAGTATTAGAAAACTTGAATATTTCTTGGCATCTTTTGAACTAAAGGATTATGTAAAAATGTAAGACTTGTTCATTTAGTCAAATGCCATTTAGGCTAAGATACCAAATGCAGACTTAACTAAACCCTTTATTTTCACAATCAAGGTTGATATTTCACACAAAAAGAAACAATTTCAGAATGAATACATCTCCAGAAATTAAAAACCATGTTTATCAATGTGAACAAAAACTATCCTAGAAATTGGAAGAGTTATTTTAAACTCTCTGGGGAAAGGTTGCAGTTTCTAATCTAATTTATTCACTTTTAATATTCATTTACTATCAGTGTAGGCATGTATGACATCATGACCACAACTGATACTTTACAAACTAGAAAACTATCGGATGGAAATATAAATCGCACTACCCTAGTAAACAGAGAAACACAATTACCTCACCAACACATGTCAACTTTTTAAAAGTTCACTTTATACCCTCATTTAAAGTGAGCACTTACTACTTTGTTGTATTTAAAAATAAAGTTTTAATGAACCCGCCACATACGTCATTTACCAGCACTGGCTCTTTATTCAACCAAGAGTTACCCTTCAAAGGGTCATCAATATTGAATAATCCCCAAATCATTGCAAATTTATCAAGAATCAATTTCAAAAAAAGCAAACGTTTGGTGAATTCTTCCCTGTATTATTTGATTTTATTGGAAAAAAAAACCTGCACTACAAAATATTAAAAGAAATACTCCACAGAGAGTAAAACAATAGCTGTATTAATCCACGTATGGACCATTTATGTTGACTATTCATTTCAAATGTCATTTTCTGCACTTTTAAAATTTTTATGTATAGTAAATATTTCAAGGCAATGCTATTATTTCCCTTAAGCTATGGGTACAATTCAGGGAAAGTCAGCCCTTTAGAATTAGTAGGAGACAATAGCATAAACATTCCCATTCACTCGGCCACTGGACACACATTCTTCCACCTAATACAATTTGTTTTTTCACTTACCCTGAGAAAGAACCTTAAAAACTGCTAACAGCACTTGCTAGGTACCCATAGCATGCAGGCTTCAAATAAAAGTGTTCTGTTGTTTTGTCTTGCTTTGCATTCTTTTTTTCTTTTGCAGCGGAACTGTGTTCCGAGGCAATTTCCACACCAGTTCAAACAAGGTGGTCAATTTAGTGGATAGAAAATTAAATTTATTAAACCACAAGTTTGGTCTGAATTGACTTAATATAAAGAGGAATCCAGAGACACAGAGTCAGCATCCTCCTGACTGTCCAGTTTCACATCGTAAGTTGTGCTCCTGACTGGGTCCTGTATGCTCCGGCCTGCTCAAAAGAGGGGTAAGTCCCATGTAGAATTCTAGAGTGGATAAAGGCCACGGCTCACCCTACACAGCACTCGGCAGCTATGTACCATGCTCCACTTCTAATAAGAGCCTCATTGACAGTGCTCTGCCGGGTCACATCCACACCTCGTCAGCAGCACCAGTTGCTAACTGCAGAGCCCTCAGCCCTTGACTCCTCCTGAGGCAATCAGCTATGCTTCAGTTACTAAACAGCACAACACACAACACAGACTATTGTTCCCTCGAACCAACTAGACTACCACAGGACACACTTAATCACTACTTTTTAAATTAGTGCAAATGTCTTCAGTATGCTCTGAGTAGAGATTACAATTCACAGATGCAAGGAACGATTGAACACTTTATTGTGTGGTTAAATTTTTAAAATACAGTAAAAAAAAAAAGTCGTCACTAATCCCCCTCGACGTACTCCTCCCGCTTGGAGGACATACATGCCCCATCCTCCTTGCCACTTCCCAAAGCAGTGCTGGAACTCTGCCTTCTTCAGTGTCCTACTAGATGCTGTCACAGGTGTGGTGAGCTCTACTGCCCAGAGCCACCCGTGGGAAGGCAGGCCTTAAGTGCATGGTGGGGCATCTTTGTTACTCACCAGAGCTGACACCCGGCAATGTGCAGCTCTGTCACAAAGTTAAAATGAGCATGAAACATAAATATTTTGAGTTGACTCATGACATTCAAGCAACCATGAGTGGGCATCTAAGGATTCCTGAGAAGGCCTCCGGCTCTCCTTCAGAAAGGGGCAGGAACGAAGGATTGTGTTTGGATTGAGGAAGAGCATCTGAGGGAGATTAATGGTGACGAGTCTTTCACCCTAACTGATCACACCTCCTACCTATATCCCATGTAGTGCTGAATTAATATGTTATGCACACTGCTATACTTGCTCAGAATCACTTCAGTGGTTGTTAAAATAGTCTAAGTTCAGCCATAGTTTCCCAGATACTTGTTGCCATGTTGAAGTGTGCATTTGAGACATTTCCCTCATCTACTTTTCACTGGCCTTTAATATGACAGTCAGTTGAGCTCCCTGGGAGTTCTCATATCATTTATTTCTTCTGTTATTTATAAAATGTCAACTCCCAATGATCTGATTCTAGAACTGTAATTTTCCTTTCACTTCTAACTAAATTACAAAGATGGTATTGATATAAATTATCCAAGAAGCTTGCTGGACTATACTCCCAAGCCTACATACCTACTCAATAATTTAAGTATAACTCTTACTGCTCTATCAGCCTTTCTATTGGGCACAGCCCTGGATATGTTGTAGAGGAGAAAGCCTTGGCCAGAGTTTCATGACACAAGCGTAAAGCATGAATTTTATGATTTACTAGAGTTTACTCTTACAAATGAATGATTGACTCAAAAAGATGAAAACTTGTTAGAAAATATACATACAATTATGTCATGAGAAGAATAAAAATGATTTTTAAAGAATGCAGGATAAAGTCTCTTGATCTAATTGTGGAACAAAGAATAAAATCTGCTTGTCAGAGCTCCAGATCACTGAGTCAGATCACAGAATTAGTTCTGATGAACGCAATGCTTCTACATGCTCATTTACGAAGAAGGATGGCAGATGATTTTTTCCTAGATGCTTGAAATCACTAATTCAATACACACACACACACAAACCCACGTGCACACACACACACACACACACACACACACACACACACACACCACCTTTGATTCTTTGATATTCAGATTTCCTTCAAGGCAAAGACAGCTTGTCTTGGCAAGTTCTAACAGGGCTCAGTCAAGATGCAAACCAGCCAGCTCTGGCTGCTAACGATGTGTTCCTACAGCGCAGGAGCTCCCTCTGTTCAGGCTGCTTCATGCTCCGTCTGTCTCAGCCTAAGAAAGGAGCTCTGCTCCTCTCTTGGGGTATTCTATTTGAGAAAGAAAGTAACCTAACACTAACTGCAGGCGGGGTCAGAGTGATGTAACAGGAAGCTCTGATGTTTCCCTTCTCCGTTGATCAGTTACAATCTGACAACACTTCCAATCCACTCAAAACAACTCCTCTCTCCAGCAGAGAGTGTCACCTCCTGCCTTGGGACAGCGGGCTCCGCTTACTGCAGCTCCCTCACGCGCAGGTCCCATCGCAAGTCTTCCCTCGTCCCCACCTTCCCTGGGTATAAATCTCTGCTGCAGAATCACAGAAAATCAAATTCTAGCCTGAGCCTGTTTCACCAAGAAGTTCCTCACGAGCTGTGCTGGGTAAGTGCTTCCCTTGAAATAAATGCATTTATTGTGAGCAGAATCCTCACTTCGTCTGACAACATTTCCACCAAGACTTTAGTAAGTAGCACTGAAATGCTGTTCTAACAACCACGCTTATTTCACAGGCTAAGAAGCTAGGGGATATTACCTTGGAGCGCATACAAAAATCTATCACTACTGAATATTACTATGTACACGGATAGTCTAGAAACTAATTTACCAAGTAATAAAAATCTACATGCTTAAAACGCATGTCTCGGAACATACCTTAAGTGCTTCTATAAGCTGAGCCTCAACCCAGTCAGCTGGAAAAACACTTCTCCCCTCGATGGGGTCTTTAAACTTTCTACATTATCAGGGCTCTGCCTAAGTGGTGAAAGCATAACTGCTTTTGGGGTCTCAGAGTCTCACGGCACCCTGAAATGGAGAGTTAAAGCAAAGTAAGCAGTTTGGACCTGTTGTGTTTGTCTGTTACTTACCTTTCACTTCTATTTACATTACCATCTGTAACTATTGAGTTCATGGAATTTTTATGGCTTGTGGCTTCCAGGAGAGTTTATCTATGTTGAGAAACCTGATCTGTTTCAGTTGTATTTGGATCCTGCGGTGAGCTATCAAGGAAAACAAAAACACACCCAGAGTTGTAAAATGCAGGGCTATGGGCATTCATTCTGAGTTTTCACTGTCTTTACCTGAGAGGAGTATCCCCTCAACTTGCGAGGGCCCCTCTGTGAGCTTTGGGGGAGGGTGCCTTAGCGAGATAACTGCGATGAAAAAGGTAGCAGAATTCGCCCAGAGGAATATATTGGTGGAGAAACTAAAGCATGTACTTGAAAAGGAATTTTCAGGAAAGAACTCGCTGAAATGCTGGGATGAAACAGGTTAACGCTTGTTGCAACAGTCCAGGCTGTCCCGGGCAATTTCAGGAGCGGGCATCTATCTATGAAGTTGTCCGGAATGGGGATATTACAGTTTGTTGCTGGAGAGTTAGATGTCACATTTGGGTCCAAAGCATGTGGACTGAATAATTTTAAAGAGTGCTTTTTCTCACACTAAGCTCTGCCAGGCGCGCAGCTAAGGCGTCCGCGCTTTGTCACCGGGGTCTGGCGCGCGAACAAAAGGCTGGAGACTGGCGCGGAGCGAGCCGGGGCTGGTCTCTCCCGTCTCCCACAGACGTGTGGGTCTGGCGGCAGCTTTCATGGATTCCTACCTTCATGGCTCTTTAAAAGCGTTGAGTCTGGTTTCTCTTTTCAATCTTACGTTCTCCTCCTGAGTTAGTTCCCTGACACATGCGTAGAAAAGGGGAAGTGTTTTGGCGTGTGACTGATTAGTCATTAGGCAATTCATGAGGGAGCAAGGGAACAACGTACTAAGTGCCAATCTCGTGGATTAGTAACAAGGATTACACCAGCATCGTTTAAGCCAGGCTTTCCTGAAACAAGATATTATATTAGTATTGTATTTTATAATGATCAATTCTCTAAACTTTTCTAATCTGTATTTACTAGCCCCAAATACATAATTCTCTTCCAAAATTTAGTTAATAGTTTTTATCCGTATTAGTAGCTTGTTTTATAATTTTTATTATCAAAATATGGCTGAAAAACACTGAATCGGGTGTGTTAAGGATTACTGGGCCAAAAAAATTATTATTTCTATTTGAGTGGATAGCTGGAAATTAAAAATAAAAGTTCATATTATATGATAAATTTTGCTTTTTACAATTAATATCAGAGTATCAATGCATACTTTAGTCATATTTTACTTTTCTAGATATTTCCCTGAAGCATCAGAAAAATCTGTTCAAATTTTTCTAAACATACAACACATAGCAGTGATAAATTATAATGTTAATATGAACTCAAATATGTTATACCTAAAGCATTTTAAGAGACGTGATTTTGATTATTGCTACAAGCTCTTTTCTTTCTAATATATTTTACCACACTCTAAAGCACTCTCTAAAGTTTAAAAAATGAAAGATTTAGTATGTGTAAGACCATCCTTTTTGAAGGAATTCAGAAAAACAGAAACATAAAAATAATTATAACAGTCTGCATTTTAAAGATTAAATTAATAACCAAGGTATAAGAACTTCCCTCCACTGGACATCCTAAACAATATATTAATATTCAAATGGTGTCAATGAACTAACATGTTTATGAGAAAATTTACATTCACCTGCATGCTCTACTTTCTCATGTATAACAGATACAATCTGGTTACAAGGTTACTACAATGCTATAAAACAAATTACTTCATATGCTTTATATGTATTTGGAATGTTACTTCATAACATCAAAACTAACAATTTCAGTAAATGGCATTGTTTTCCGTCTCTGACTTAGATCATATTTAGAATCAGTATAACAATAATTTGTTATCCGTTTTATCTACATGTTTAAACGTTTTGATAATGAGCACTTCTGTGGGCTGTTGTGAATCTTTCTAGGACAATTAACACAACCATGTTTAAAGAACTGAACTAGGTCTTCACTAAATAAAACTTGCAGTTTATATATGATTTTGGAAGTTGAAAATATAATCATGTTTTTTTATCCATGTAAGGATAGTGGAGTCAGCTCTACAGAAAACAAATATAGTCAACAACATGACTTGAAGTGTTTGGCTTTATGCTTAATCTAATCTTTGTTTAGAATTAAGAATCACCCTTAGCTCATGTCACAGCGATGGTGTTCATGGAGGACACTCAGGAGGCCTCCATAGACATCTGAGTTCTTGGTATAATCAAAACTTTAATGAATACACTTAGTGTGGGCAGATAGTGCACCACTATTTAAAACACTTGATGAAGCCAACTGTAAAGTTGGTGGATAAACTCTAAACATTTATAATTCTTCTTGTTCTACCAAAGTACTTGCATTGGGCAATTATTAAGCAGTCACTCAAATTTGAACAGGATAGTCTTCCTTAAAACCAAGTGACTATTTTTCATGTTTAGTTGGGAATATTTTTCTTAAATCTGTTGTGGTCAAATAATCTGTATAATTTCCCATGTCTGAGTAAATTTGACTTCAATTTAGTTTGCTTTTTAATGTAGTAGGCTATTTTACAAATAAAAAGAAATTTATTTAGGTTATAAGGACACAATATACATTTTATTCTCTTTATTAAAAGTAAGATGTTATTAATCGTCGTGAAATGAGTTAGGGTCTATGTTTCTAGAATTATTACAATTAGCATTGGATGATAGAAATACTTTTTTGAAATATGTTTTTTACATTCATTTGTTTAAGAAACATTATTATACAAAACTAAAACATTTTTGCATTTATTTTTAAATGTAAAAAGCAATTTTTACCTTTCTATCTTTTATGGTTTTCATTAAAAGTATTACATGTTCTTACTACTGTATCAATAAAAAATAAAATTCAAACCTAACTCAAGCCAATGTAAATAAAAATAAATAAATGAATAAGTAATCCCTATGATATTGAAGCTATACTAAAGCTGAACCCTATTTTATACTAGTTTAGTTGAATATAATTCAATCTTCAGAGAAACTTTATTCCCCTTAAGATAGGACATATCACCACCAGGGATGGTGGCACATGTCTGTAATCCCAAAACTTGGGAGGCTGAGGCAGGAGGATTATTGTGAGTTTGAGGAGAGCCTAGGCTACAAAGTGGGCTCAAGGCTGAACTCCAAAGTAAGAAACTGTCTCAAAAAGACAAATATATATAAAACAATACAGTATTTTATGGCATAGATTTTTGTATAAGCCTATAGTTATTTCTCTACTCAGGTTCAGCTTAACCTGCTCAAAATTATGTGTTTTTCATAAAAATCCTAACATTCCTGAATGTGTTCTTCCCCGTCTGAAATGTCACTCATATATTTAAGTGCAACTAGGTGACTCACAAGGGCTCCCGCTCCTTGCATCTCAGTCATATGGAAGGTCCATTGCATGTTCCTGAGCACAGGATTTTGGCTTTACCTGTCAGTTGATATACATTTTTCCTACATCATGAGCTGATTTTGCATCTTTCACAGATGAGTGCTAGTTTGCGCCCATGTTCATTATTAGCCTGAGATCAATTTTTATGGACATGCCTTCCATATAAGACTCCATTTTGCCTTTCTTCCAAGGATAATTTGAAGGAGAAATCCAAAATGTTGGAAGTATCACAGAGGAATAAAATGTACTTGAACGAGAAATAAAGATGGAAATTACAGGGATAAAAACCATCAGTTCAAAACTGCTATTGTTTCCTATAAATCTGTAGTTATTTTCTTTATATGAGTTAAAATAGGAGGCTGCCCTACCTTAGTTCATGGAAGCCTGAGGTCCAAGAAATAAATTTAATGCTCTAATAATCAGTCTGTGCATCTATCCTTTAAAAATTTGCTTTCAATGAAATTGTTTGGTTTAAAATCTCTTCTAAAATTCTGCCAGTATATCTTATCAGCTAAAGGAAAAGAAGCTTGCCTATTCGTCTTTGTAATCTGAATATATATTACTTAAATAAGTGCAGCCTGGATTTGGAGTTACATCCCCCACATGTAAAACTCAATTCTCCACTTGCAAGTTCCTCCTTCTCATCTATGAAATGGAACTGATTCCTCCCGCAAGGCAGGCGACCGAGGATAGTTCATAACTAGTTTCTCAAATGGTTGTCCCTTTGCCATCATAAGACAGGTGCCAGCATGTAACGCAACAGGTCCTGCTAAAAAGCATTCCTGTAGAGTATAAGCATTGAAAGATGCTTCACAGTAATGAGTATAAAAGGGATGCAGAACACAAATTAATGTTTCCAGTTTTCATGCAAAAATATTTTATGAAAAATATTCTATTCATACAAAATATTCTATTTTTATGAAATTAATTTTATCTGAAAAAAATGGGGGGCTTAATAAAATACATGCCCAAAGTCACACAATCATTAAAATAAAATGCTAGCTCTGCCTTACATGTACTGATTCTATATCTTACATATTTTGTCACTTATTGTCTGATACCATCCTTCCCACTTTG